AACCATATTACAGATGCGTTGTCAGATTTAAGTTGAACCGCGGTCCTAGCGCGTGCCGAACCGTGTTTGGAGAACCGTACGGTTCGACGAACCATTCCACCCCTAATTAGGCCTACTATAAGGTTACAGTTAACAACAGAGCCCAAGCATAAATTTAATTACTATTTATTTTTAAATATAACAAGCAACACTCATTTTATGCAAACATGTAAATTGCACATAATGTAGTTTTTAAATTAACTTCTAAATGATAAAAATTCCATTTGTTGTTAAAATATAATCATTTACACAGTGCCTCTGATAACTCATTTCATAACAGATTTATTTAAAAATTTAATAATTAAGACATCACTAACAGGTAAAGTAAAATGTAATGAGTATGTAGTCTAATATTTCACGAAATGCTCTTCTCTAGACTTCATTTATAGCGCACTAATGAGCTGTGGACACTGATGACTTCCTGAGGTAAATGAAATGCTATGTGACATTTTGTTTACTAGTTGTTTTATTGACATCTTTCTGCAGTTGAAATGCTGATTGAGCGATTAAATGAGGAATGAGATGTTCATTCATGTTTATTTCGCATTAAAACTAGTAGTAAAGAGGAAGGGATGATCGCGCTGCCATTTGAACTGAGGCGTTTATACAGCGATCTGTTGCGCCACATCAAAGAGCGCCAAGACAGCCTTTATTGTTTGAATTTCCTGAAAAAAGGACATAATTTGAAAGATGAGGCTTTGTTTCTAACAATATATAAAACTGGAAGTTTCCAATGAAGTTCCGCTCGTGCAGTGGTTAAAACAATGTATTTGTTCGGTACACATGCAAACTTTTCGGTACGAATACGTGTACCGTTACACCCCAAATCTATATATAGGCTATATATATTCCACATTACAAAAGAAAGACATGAGGGTGAGTAAATGATGTCAGTATTTTCATTTTTGGGAGAACTAGTCCTTTAACAGATGTCTGTGAAAGCTGTATCTGTAGTGCCATCGGAGCCAGACACCAGCAGCCCCCCTTCCTGCCAAGAGCACTGATAACGAACATCCTTCTCTTTACATCCATCTCTTCCTCACGCATGATCCCTATTCACACAGAAGCCTTTTCCCTGCATTAATGAGGCATTCAGCGGCACACTTAATTATATCCACGTTCCAGCCGCCAATTGCGTATTAATAATCTCCCTGTTTGTGTGAACCCTGAACGGGTGGTCAAAGGTCAGATGGATTATGAGGTCGGGGGGAGTGTGCCTAGTTTAGGATCAATAACGGGATTTGTGCAAAGAACCAGACTTCTGTTTCAAAGGGTGGGGGATTGTGGTTTTCAGAAAGGATCTTGTTTTTGCAAGAGAGTCTGTTCCGATTTGCCCGTCTGATTGTTTCATGTACGTGTCCATATCAACAGTTATAAGAGGTGCGAACAGATCTTTAAGTAAGGTATTCTGATGACATCTCATTAGCTTCTGGATTATACAGCCAGGTAGACGGCATATTCAATTATATGTGTTATTTCCCCATCTGGAGCCTGAGTCATGATAGAAATGGGATATTATCTCCTGGCCTCCTCCCAGGTCCTTCTAAATCACTGTGTCAGCTCTTTTGAGGGCATGGCCTGTGAATGAAGAGGCAATTACATGCGCTGAGGTATTGAGAAGCCCCGACCCTTCAGATCCCTCAGCTCCGGTCGTTACAGAATATTTTCTATAATGAAGGAATGGCCAGCTGCACTTCCACAACAACCTGCTAGTCCCACAGGGCATCGCACAGGGTGGCCGCTTCCACAGGGCGCCCCGCTTCCACACAGCTTTAACCCCCCTCGCCCGCTCCACTGTCCCAGAGGGATTGAATACTATAGGAAACAAGGGCAGCACGACAGCTAGCCCCAGGCTGAACACACAAACACACATTCATGAAAACACACAGCAGAACATCCCAGTCAAAGCTCTTCTGGGCTCACTGAGCATTCAAGGGCACTTTAGATGGCACCCCTCTGGCGGCTCTGTTCCAAATCATTCATGATGGGCTGTGTTTGCTTTTTATTGAGTGCGTCTCAAAAAATGTTTGGGTTATTTCTCACCCAAAATCCAGTGATATTAATTGGAGCTTATTTTTAGGACATTTACACCCATAATTACTAGGGGTGTGACGAGATCTCGTGGCACGAGATCTCGCAAGATCCGATGTGTCTCGCGAGAACGTGACGATATCCTCACGCAGACCTTTCAGATCTCTTTGCATTACACTGGCTCGTTCACAAGTGGTGGTATGTAAGCATTGTGTTTTTCAGTTGAATAAAATACTATTTTTCCCTATATATTTCATCATTGAGGATTTCTTTAAAAAAAAAAAGTCTAAAAATCTCGTCTCGTTCTCGTGAACCCAGTCTTGAGTCTCGTCTCGTGGGATAAGGGTCTCGTCACACCCCTAATAATTACTGTAATAAAAAAATAGTACAGTAATCAAAATCATACTGCCTTGACTTTTTTTTCAGCATAAATTAAATTCTGAACAACCAAAATATATAATGTACAGATACTTCAAAGAATGTATTTAAATTAGATTAGATTTGCTTTACAGTAATTTTTCCACACTACAGTAATGAGAATTTGGAGAGGGGGAATGTATATATTTATTATTTATAAATCTATAAAATGCTATTTAATTATCACCCAATGTCAAGTGACATTAAACACTGGATAAAGAAATCTGAGCTCATTTTTAGGACGTTTTCCCATAAAATTATCTTTCCTATAATGAAAAAAGTATAGTAATCAAATTCAAGCTGCCTGTTTACTTTTTCAGCATAAATTACATTCTGCACAACAAAAAATACATAATAGATACTCTGAATAATGTAATTTATTAATCAATTTATTTATATTTAAATAATACTGCATTTGTTTTTGCATTGCAGTATTTTTTTTCCACACTACAATAATGAGAATTTAAAGAGGGCTAATGTAGATATTTATTAATATTTAAAAATATAATAACATTTAATTACAGCAAATAAGACACACACTGAATTGCTGCATTTAAATGTGCACTTATTGTATATTATATTTACTCAGACTTCATTATTGACAGAAAATGTACAGTTACTGAAGGCCAACGGCAATAAAATGCCAAATATCAAGCAATTTACTAAAGGTTTTAAAAGTATCCTGCATTTTCTTTATGCAAAATGTGAAATTTTATATATTTTTAGTCTTCTGACTCATTTTGATTTTGGTGTGAATTATGATCCAGACATGTTATTCCAATTCTTGCAATGAAAATACAGTTGATATAATTCAAACATAAATCCAAGTTTAAATTAGATTTTTAGTACTAGAAAATTCATGCGTACATCATCATGCCTGACAGTAAACACTATCAGCTTTAGCAACGGGGGTGTTTTTTTTTTTTAACTCAATGAGGGGGCAGAGGATTTTTATAGCATTTCTAAAAATTGGTAGAACAAGGCAGACTGATTCATAGAAAATATCCAGAGGAGCTTAAATAGTTTCAAAAGTTAGTCATATTCCACCCTCGGTCTATTTCAGGCTCACAGTGAATCACATTTGTCTTGCGAAATGAAGACAGCAAAGGAAGAAATGCACAAAAAAAAAAAGGTTCCGACAAAAATGTGGGTATTTCCACCCATTCAGCGTCTGTGTCTGTTTCCTCAAATGCCACGGCTGTCAAAAACAACATTAGGGCAAAAAATATCATCTCTTCTTAGTTCCTGTTAGCAGGTAAAAAGCCTAAAAGGAGGGCCATTGAGACTCTTACACAACTTGGATTTTCAGACATTGCCTTGATTTAATTAGCTGTAATTAATCCAATTGAGGGCTAATTGGCGTCTTATTGCAGTGACTGTGGGGGTTCATTCATATTTCATCAGTGGCTGAGAGTCATTCTTCACTACTTTACATACGAGCACCGCTCGCCAGTCTCCAATTAAACACTAAAACATGGATTTTGTTTCTGGAAAAAGATCAAACGCAAAAATACGAAGCCGCTGGATATAAAACCCAAAATCCCTGTTGGGGTGTGAGTCCCACTTTAAAGTAACAGACGTGGCAAGATGACAAAGTCCTCAGAGAAACCACCATAACTCAAGACAAGATCCCTGAAGAGAAAACATTTGGTTTCACTCTAACAAGCATTCTTTTGCCCACAGATTTGGGTCTCGTTAAAGATTGTTAAAATCTCTGAGCTTTGAATACATTTATCACACTGATGAGTGTATGTAATGTATGTAATGTAACAGGAAATGCTAAGTGCACCTAGACAGCCTGGTGACTACCTAAACTTGATAATTTATTAAAAAAAATTTTTTTATATTAATATATTGACATTTTTTTTTTATTTATTCATTTCTTAATCGTCATCTTTAGTCCAAGAGCACAAAAACCGGTTTCCACAATCATCGGATTTAAGACAAAACATGCATCCATTTTAACTGCTCACTGCATAACTATATCATCAACCAGATCGCATACATTTTAATTTGACAATGGTGCAAAACCTCACTTGACCTAATCTCACCAAATGTCACCAATCCGGCACATGAGCATGCATTACTTTCAACTCAAATACACAAGATAAAACGGTAATCTCAGTAGAGCATTACTTCATGAAACTCACTAGCACTGATTCTCACAGTTGCGTTGCAGTCTTGGTAAAACAGGACTGGGGTCTCAAAAAGAAGAGTAAAGGGTGAAACCTAGTAGAGGAAATGCACTATACAGGACGTGAATATGATTAAATATGTTCATTTCCACTCAATAACACACCGTGTGTAAAACAGCATACACTCAGCCACTCAAACAAAGTCCCAAAACACTTGTATCTTTTCCAAACATGTAGTTGTAAGCAAACCAAGCAGGTTTCGCGTTAGAAACAAAAACAAACAAACACTGTGTGCAAGCAATAGCGGTGTGTGGTACAGCACTGATTCAATAGTGACAGACGCTCAGAGTCGCCTGAAGAAATAAACAGCAAACTTACCGACTCCGTATTTCTCGTGTTCCGTAGGAATCCACATATTCATGGGGTTTGTTGAGAAAAAAGCGTACGAAACAGCGCGCTGTGCAGTGCTTATGTTAAATCACTCATTCGTCCAGATTCACACCATCCTCTCGGGCAGTCATTGTTCAGCCCGCTCGAGCGATCAACTGTCTGCGCTGCACGAGATGAGAACGCGGCGGCGCGCGTTTAGATAAACCAGTGTGCAACCGAGTAGCATGATGGGAAATGTAGTTTCGTGACGTGCGCGAAAAAGAACAGCGATAGTGATTAGACCAGAGAGGTTTAATAATAACAAAGATTTGTATTAAGACCTCTTTTTTTAATAAAATTTTTTCCAGAAAATGTATTTATTTGTTCATTTATTTTATTATAACCCTGACATTTTATCTGAACCAATGGTTATATCAAGAGGATGAGGTTTCAGATTTGTATCTTTTTTATTTTCTGTTTTTATGAAATATTTTAGGCTATATTCTTTATTTTAACTGTATTGTATTGTATATGGGTTTCGTTATGTTCCAGTTTTATTTGATCTGAATTAAATATTTTATACTGAATTTATTTATTCATTTATTTAAAGTTGAAATGTGAAATCTTCAAACATATTTACCAGATATTCCTACTACACCTTACACACATTCAAAGACATCAAGCACATGCATTAGTATGGCATAATCCATAAATCCCTTTGCAGGCTAAGCAAAAATACACAATTAAATAAATAATTTTTACCATACATGATGCAGATTCATGAATGCAAGACAATACATAGTAAATAAATAAATAAATGCACATAACCCTTCACTCATACAGTGTATTGTCTATGTTAAATGCATGACAGAGAAAAAGCAAGGGTCAAAGGGTTTTGGTACATGAGAATGGTGTAGATCTGATCTGAATTATCAATCTAATAACCTGCACTAATCCAATTAATGTTGCAACCTATTTCCTGTATGAAAAATCTATGCACACAGATCATCTAGAAATGAGCTAGATGATCTTTTCAGAAACATTAATTTCGAGAGTATTATTATTCAGTTAATTAAAAAATAATAAGTATTATCAATATAAAACAATTATATAATAAATATGTTTAATATTATTGTGAAATTATTTAGTTTCTATTACATTGCATTATTATGTTTTTATACTCACTATAGTACTGCATTGTTAAATGAATTGTTTATTCAAATAAATTATTAATTAATTTATTTAGTATATTATTTGTAGTTTATTTAGTAATCCATTTTTTATTATTTATGTATTCCTATTTTTTTTTACACTGTTTCTCTAATTGTTTCCACAAGACCATGGTGAAGTGAACGTTTCACTCATAAAGACAGCTACTTGTTTAATCCCTGAATGAATCAGTGTTTTAAACAAATCAGTTGAATTAATGATTCAGTAACTCTTTTTTTTTTTTAAACTCACTTGTTTTGCTGCTGAATGAATCAGTGTTTTGAATTAATTGATTGATTGAATGATTCAATAACTCATTTATACAGAAGCTGTTTTTGAATGAATCAGTTGATTAAATTATTCAATGCATCAGTCATTAAAAGGCGGTCACTTTTCGCCATCTACTGGTATAACAGTGTAACCTGCAAAAAGAATCACTGAAAATCTTTCGCTAATGCACAGACTGACACAAACACAGGCTATCAGCTCAGCCAATCAAATCCAAGGACAGGAACTGTGTTTAATAAATTATAAATGTGCCCCACAGAACAACTGTGACATAATAATTGTAGCCTAGTTTCTGAATCCTCAAATACACAGTCAGAGTTGGACTAGGATACCTGGCGTGCATTTATTGGATTCGTGGACAATGATAAAGTACATTTCCATTGGTCTGAAAGCAGAGACTGTGTGTCTTTGTCACAGGAGAGACCACCGTGCGAGAGGCAGAATCCAAGAAACAGGGTTCAACCAGCCATGCATACTAAACACATGCTGGAGCTTTAAAGTCTGCTCCTGTCCCAGCACGACTTACTCTCTCTCTCGCTCTGCAGTATTTCAAGTGTCCTGCACTCGAGCTGGCTGGTTAAGACACAATTTAAGACACGGTTTCCGTGAATCGCTCAATGGTGCTTGACTGGATGATTACCTTGCTTAAGAAAAACTGTAAAACAGTCAATAATCACATCATATTGCTGAGTTTTTCTGCTGTCATTAATTGATTTATAATGTAATGATGACTGAAAGGTTGGTTACTAATGTTTGCTTTGGTGGGAGAGAGTGTCCTCAGTGACATTCTCTTAGTTTATTAAAGAAACAAAGAAATAAATACATGAAGGAATAAATAAATAAACAAAGAAATCACCTGTAATGATTAAACTGCCATTACTGCAGTGTTAGTAAATTAATAAATAAATAAAAAAACTAAACACTAAACAAATTAATTAATTAATGTTAGGATTTTTTTAAATAAGGTCACTAGAATTACTTAATTGCAATTATTTCAGTGTGTAAATAAAACAAATTACTAAACAAAACAAAACAAAAAAAGAAAAGAAATAATTTATTTTTTAATAATAATTAATTTTAAAGTCAGCAATGACTTAATTGTCATTATTTCAGTGTGTAAATAAAACAAATTACTAAATGCACAAATAAATAAACTAAACTAAATAAATAATTACATTATTTAATAATAATTTATTTAAAATAAAGTAATGACTTAATTGCAATTATTTCAGTGTGCAAATAAAAAAATAGAATAAAAAACAAATGACTAATCAAACAAACAAATATGAATAAGTAATGACTTAATTGTCATTATTTTGGTGAGTAAATAAATAAATAAATAAAAACGAAAGATTAAACAAATGTTTGTTTGTTTGTTTTTTAATTAAAGTCACCAGTAATGACTTTATTGTCAATGTCAGTGTTAAACAAACAAATAAAACAAATAAATAAAGCAGATGATAAATTTTAATTGGATGGAAAATGGTATGTGCTGTTAAGCCTTCTTTTAAGCTGAAAGATCTGTAACCTGGAAGAATCTGATCTGCGTATCTCCAGGTTCTCAGAGACACAACACATGCGGGCATGAGGACGTGTAAAGAGGATGAGAGGAGCAGCTATCTTTGTTCTTTCCTCTTTTCATGTGTCCATACAAACATGTGGTGAACATGCCAGCGACCCTCAGCACATCTGAGCAGCGGTTGCAGATTGAAGCTCACCATGTGAAGTCTTATCTGTTCTTCTTTCAGTAGAGGGAACAAAGAGTTTTCCTCCGAGTATCAAAAACTTTGATTTTACATCTAAAAGGTTTTATTTTCAAATAAAAATATTTTGCACAGCACTTCCATGTTTCTGGACATGTACTATGGTTATACCAGGTTTTTTTGGACATGCACCTTGGAAATGTAATGGCTTTAATCATGTACCATAGCATTACTGTGGTTTTTTGACATCTATCACAGTGACACCATTTTTTTTCAACATATAATGGTATTATTAATTTTGAGCATTGTACTGTGGTGAAAGATCGAAAACTGAAAAACTGAAACCGAAAGAGTATATTTTTACTTTTCTAAATCTGTATGTGTAAAGACAAAAGAATCATTACTAACAGCTGCTATTTCACTTATTGGTGATTATGAACTCCACTAATGAGTGTAACACCCACCTGCAGCTTCTGTAAAACCACAGCACATGCTCACAAAAGAAAAACAGCCCACCCACACCCTCATCATCTCTAATCGTACCTGCAGAGCCAGCCTTCCCGAACAGATAATTTCAGTGAATTATCAAGCATGAGCTTCGTCAGTGCAAACAAGCCACAGGGTGCCATTACAGCTCAAAAACAACCTTATGTTTGTATCAACATAGATAGCAGCAAATACAAACACTCATCACACTCACTAGACTAGACACAGGCAAACAAATCTGTGGTTGGTTACTATTTGCATTGGTGGGAGAGATCAGTAATGACCTCAATGTCATTAGCAGTGTTGAAGAAACATATACAGTAAATATATGAAGGATGAAGGAATAATAATAATAATAATAATAAACAATCTATTGCCATTATTTCAGAGTATAAATAAATAAATAAATAGTTTATAAGTATTATTTACATGTAAGTAAATAAGTAAATAAATAAATATAAATAAATAAATGGAAAACAAACAAATTAATAAATAATTAAGTAAACATTAACTACATATTTAAATTAATTAAATATTTTACATTTTAAACAAATTAACCATAGATGACTTTATCATCAACATGTCAGTGTAATAAATAAATAAATAAATAAATAAATAAGTAATCTTAAAGACAACATGAATTTGTTTATTGTCAGTATGTCAGGGTGTTATAAACAAACAAATTAAATAAAGTCTACATTAATGACTAAATAAATAAATAAATATTCTTAAAGTCAACACAAACTACTTTATTGTCATGTCAGGATTTTATAAACAAACAAACAAACAAATAAAATAAAGCCTGTATTAATGACTTTATTTTCAATATGCCAGTGTGCTAAATAATAAATAAACATTCTTAAAGTCAACAAAAAATTACTTTTATGTCAGTATGTCAGGATTTTATAAACAAATAAATAAATCACAAGTATGGATTTCATTGTCAGTACATGAGTGTGTACTCAAATAAATAAATAAACAAAGTCTACATTAATGTGTTTATTGTCAATATGTCAATATGAATAAATAAATAAATAAATACATGTTATTTGTGAAATTTATGCATGTAAAAAAGAAGCAAATAATGGGTATTCAGTAGGAAAAGCACAAGTACTCTAACAAATGTCTAAAGTCTGTCGATTTGGCTTTCCCAGTGTGTGAGATGCAGTGCTGCTTTGAGTAATTGATGACAATAAACTAGGCTGAGTAGGAGGAAGAGGTTTTCTCCAAAAAAAGCGCTTTTTTATATGGTGGTGAGGTGTGTGGTGACGGTTTCTCGAGTCATAAACAACAATGATGGCAAAAAATGGCATCGGTGAGTGAGAGGTTTGACCTCACAAACTCGCTCTAACAAAGGTACAGACAGCTTCTGGCACCGCGCTCACACACCCTGCCAAAGAGACCGTAAATAATCACGACTGGCTTCATTTGTTTTCCTCATGGTGTATAAAAATGTTGCTCTATCTGCTCTTCGGAGTGGAAAATTGCTTC